CTCTAGTATTTACTAGTAGGTTAGGCTGGTATATATATAAGAGGGGAAAACGTGACGCGGAAAGCATGGTAATGTGTGTGTAGATAGACAGTGAGTAATTGAACTGCAGTCACACGGTATTGTTGAAGTTAACGTTCGTTCGTGATACTGTTTGTTTTAGCGCGAGTATTGAGATTAAGTGTATCGCAGAGTTATATTCGGAAAGAATAAACCAGTTTTATTAAGTAAAGACTTGTGTCGTTAAAGTTTCGTTGGAACGAAGTTACGGAAAGTTAATTAACAAACGGAGACGTAACACAAGGAAACAATAATCTCCTATGACTTATATTCAATATTCTTATAAATACAACTCAAAATCCTATTTGCTTTCCCACTCACATCAACACATTGCTCGGAAGGCTTAAGTTTAAGAGACGATCAAACAAAACACCAAAAATATTTTAATCCATAACAATATTGAGTTGAATCCCATCAAGGTGGTAATTACCTTGCATTTAATTAAATGCCAACTGTCATTTATTAGCCCAATTTTCCAAATGATCCAAAGGAATTTGGATCATTTGGAAAAAGAATTACTAGATTAAGATGATTCATTGTCTTTTTCACAGAATAACGTTTCTGTTTCCCAATTTGCTGGTGGATGTAGCAATGGATGACTAGCCCCATGAAGTAATGGTTTCATTGCAGTTGCAGTATCTGGGTATTTAATGTATTGTTTTTGGTTTTCCTGAATATTCAGAAACATTAGTCATGCAAAACTAACAGTCAGTTAGATTATCTTTAGACTCACCTCATATCATGGGAACTGAAAATGCCATACTTGCTTTCTTTTTATCCAGCCACTGTGTCAAACTAGATGTTCAAACTATACAACACACAAATGGAGCCCAATGTTTTTCTCATTTACCATTTTTCTAACCAAAACAGTGGTAGTAAGCTACATTTTCTTTGTGTGTGATGTTTTTCCTTCCCGAAACTGTAATATATTTTCCACAAATATAGCAGAAACTCTTTGGGTTCTTTTTGTCCTTTCAGACTTTAATTGAACTGGAGGCAGCCTGTATTGTAAATGATTTTCTAAAAACTATAAAAGTATTTATGTTTACAGAAATAGATTTTATAAGATTTTAAAAGATAAAGTTTTGCAGAATTTGATTATATTGTGGGTATGGTGCGAAGAAGAAGATCGGACTTTGTTTTAATTGTGCATGGAACAAGGCGACGTAACCAACTGAGTGAGTGAGAGACAACAAAGAGAGAGAGGGGCATCTGACTCCACTCCTTTTATGCTCATTCAAGAGACTACTCGATTGTTCTAACAGATTAATCGCATGAGGGTTTCATGATTCCCGGATGAATCAGGTAAGCATAGGAATGAAGCAAAAGTATTGCAATTCACTACAATTATATCGAGAACAAATAGCATATATGAGCAATATATTTGGAATTTTATACCAATACAATACAGTCATTGTTTGAAGTTATCAAAAATGTATGTCTTTTACTAGAACTTTTCCTAAGGACTGTTTTCAACTGCACAATTATGTTTTAACTTCACCATTTTTAGTACAGGACACCATATTGTATTTCATATATAGGGGTCTAGTAACAAATGATCCAAAAATGAAGAATATTCTAGTAAATACATTTATTCATCAACTCTTGGATAGAATTTTATAATCTGAAATATACTTTTTTAATATTTATCCACTTGAACGTACTGTTACGTCTCCGTTCGTTAGTTAATTTTCCGTAAAGTCGTTCCGACGAAACTTTAGCGACACAAGTCCTTTCTTAAATAAAACTGGTTTATTCTTTCCGAATACAACTTTACGATACACTTAATTTCAACAGTCGCTCTATAACAAACGCTATAATTCTCAACGAACG